AACAAAAAACGTCAGTTAACAAAAACTAAGTGTTGATGCACGAGTGGATAAAGAAAATGTGGTCTATACATACACGGGGCTATTAGTCAGCCTTTAAAAAGAAGGAAAGCCTGCCATGTGTGGAAACAGGATGAGCCCAAAGACACACTACAGCAAGTGAAGTAAGCCAGTCACAGAGGGACAAATACTGTAGAAGCCCACTTCCATGAAATACCAAAACATGTCAAAACCGTAGAGGCAGAGAGTAGAATGGGGGTTGCGGCGGCTGGGTGGAGGGAGGAGGGGAGTTGCTGCTCAACGAGCACGAAGTTTCAGCTGTGCAGGTGGCTCCATGGCGTGATGGATAGCACGCCCGTCCTCTACAACTCCCATGAAAGAACTTACAGGTCTGCTGGACAACACTGTGCAACAATGTCTCAGGCCCTAAACATCTGCTAAGAGGATAGATCTCCAGCTGTATGTTCTTACTGCAACTTCTTTGTTTTTCTTTTTAAGAATTTTGTTGTTATTGTTTCTGTTAACATGTAAAGCCAAACCAAATATTTGAGAGAATCTTGGTTACCACAAACATGGTATTCATCTATCTAATCATATCAATACAAATAATAAGTCACATAGTTGCAAAATCTAATCAGTGGCGTTGCTACACTAGGAGAAAGGTGCAATCTTGGTTCTCATTTGCCTTCACTAACATATCTCATGATGATAACTCGTTAGCATCTGAAGGCAGACACATGTGTCCTGCATCTTACTGCAGTTTCAAACAACCCTGCAATGCCCAGAGCCCCTGGGTCTCCTGTTCACCTTTCAGGACATCAAGCCTAACTTCAATACTGCAATGGATCTTACAGGAAGAAAATCTGTGATGAAACCTATACAGCTTCACAATCTTGGGGTCTGGAAATCATGCAACAGAAGAAAGTCCTAAGGGAGCTAATGCACGGCACACTGTTACTAATGCACATGCTGTGTCAGCGGTGGGCTGGGCGGGGACAGGCACATCTAGTGGGGACCACATGCCTCGGGTGGGAGGGGGCTCTGCAATGCTTCCTGTAGCCATGCGCAAAGGGGACCAAACCTATGGCTGTCTAAGAGACTCCAGAGATCAGACTTTGTGTTAAACTTCCTAAGTTTTAATGTGTGCAATTCATAAACTTTGCTTTCAAAAACGGCAAACTCCAAACAGGTCTGAGGGCCAAGTTGCAACCTGTGAGGCAACTGAAGGCACTTAATGTATTTCCTCCCCCTCTTCAGCAACATCCCCCAGCCCAGGCTTGCTCTTGGTTTGGTTTCTTTCTTTCTTCCTCCCTCCCTCTCTCTCCCTCTTCCTTTGTTATGCCAGAGGGTGAGACAGAGAGAGAGAGAAAGCACATCCCCACCCTCTGTCTTACATTTCTCCTTCCCATCAGGACTCCAGGCATGCACACGCACCTGGCATGTTTTCCAAGCTGCTGGGGCTGAGAGTTGAACTGCTGTCAGCCATGTAGGATCTGGCTCTCTTAACCACCACACCACAGGGCCAGCCTTTGCTCCCCATTTTCTTTTTTATTTATTTATTTTTTTTGGAGAGGTTTTTACTGTAGGGCATGTGCGCTCGCCAGAAAGACAGAGAGAGACAGAGAGACAGAAAGCGAGAAATCACCCCCCGGGGGATGGACACGCCTCAATCCCTTCTCCTCCATTCTCTTCTTGGGATCTTGGGCATGCACGCACATGCGCCCGGCGTGAGTTTAAGCCACCGGGTCCAGGACTCGAACAGCAGTAGACTACATGGGAGTCCAGCGACATAGCCATTACACTAAGTGCTGGTCTCTGCTCCCCATTTTCTAAGTGGGATAAAATGCCTTGCCTAGGATCACCCAGCTGGAGGGTCTGTGGCAGCTCTGACTCCAGGTCCTACTGATTCCGCCGACTCAGCATTCCACTACTGGCCCATTTAGCAAGAGCTAGTTTAACAAAGTTGCACAGAAATATCTCCAGCTCCATAAACACTGAGTCAGCTGCACACCTTCCAGACTCTGTGTAGTTAGGAGGTAGGCCACCAGGGAAGTCTTCCCCATTCAGTGCGTCACCCTATCCCCTCTGGGTTAAACCCTTTCACCAAACACTCTTCCTTCCCTGCAGAACACCTACAAGATTTGAGACGGGAAGTCTGTCTATTTGACCTGTGTCTAGCTCTCCACTGGACTGTCAAGCTCCAATGCAGCACAGGCCATCTATCATTCTGTATACCCCAGAACTAACAAGATGCCTGGCCCAGAGAAAGGGCTTAAGAAACACTTGCTGAATGGATCAAAAAAGGCAGAGGCCTGTCAGGGGCCATGAAAAGGCCCTATTCAACCCAGCTGAACGAACGCCACTACCATTAAGAACAGGAAGCTTCTGGGAATACTTTCAGAGGCTCAAATGCTCCCTTGCATAGCAAAATGGCCTGACTGGACCACTGCACACCAGAAAAACCAGAAGGGCAGGGGCCTCCCATAACTGTGCTCCATGTAGTGGTGGCCTTTCAGCTGGGGATCACATCCCGCTCACACGAGCACGGCAACACAGCCCAGAGCCTGAACGAGAGCCCGGCCTGAGAGGTTTTTACTGTAGGGCATGTGCGCTCGCCAGAAAGACAGAGAGAGACAGAGAGACAGAAAGCGAGAAATCACCCCCCGGGGGATGGACACGCCTCAATCCCTTCTCCTCCATTCTCTTCTTGGGATCTTGGGCATGCACGCACATGCGCCCGGCGTGAGTTTAAGCCACCGGGTCCAGGACTCGAACAGCAGTAGACTACATGGGAGTCCAGCGACATAGCCATTACACTAAGTGCTGGTCTCTGCTCCCCATTTTCTAAGTGGGATAAAATGCCTTGCCTAGGATCACCCAGCTGGAGGGTCTGTGGCAGCTCTGACTCCAGGTCCTACTGATTCCGCCGACTCAGCATTCCACTACTGGCCCATTTAGCAAGAGCTAGTTTAACAAAGTTGCACAGAAATATCTCCAGCTCCATAAACACTGAGTCAGCTGCACACCTTCCAGACTCTGTGTAGTTAGGAGGTAGGCCACCAGGGAAGTCTTCCCCATTCAGTGCGTCACCCTATCCCCTCTGGGTTAAACCCTTTCACCAAACACTCTTCCTTCCCTGCAGAACACCTACAAGATTTGAGACGGGAAGTCTGTCTATTTGACCTGTGTCTAGCTCTCCACTGGACTGTCAAGCTCCAATGCAGCACAGGCCATCTATCATTCTGTATACCCCAGAACTAACAAGATGCCTGGCCCAGAGAAAGGGCTTAAGAAACACTTGCTGAATGGATCAAAAAAGGCAGAGGCCTGTCAGGGGCCATGAAAAGGCCCTATTCAACCCAGCTGAACGAACGCCACTACCATTAAGAACAGGAAGCTTCTGGGAATACTTTCAGAGGCTCAAATGCTCCCTTGCATAGCAAAATGGCCTGACTGGACCACTGCACACCAGAAAAACCAGAAGGGCAGGGGCCTCCCATAACTGTGCTCCATGTAGTGGTGGCCTTTCAGCTGGGGATCACATCCCGCTCACACGAGCACGGCAACACAGCCCAGAGCCTGAACGAGAGCCCGGCCTGAGCACCCGGAGATAGGACCCTCAGAAAACAGCCTTTGTGTAAAACAGTAGTGCTCATCTCACACCCAGATCCAGAGCCCACACTGCACCCACTGTGACGACAGACAGAGGGCCTGCCATAAGGAGCTCAGGGTGGGTGAGATCTCTGATCACGGGCCGTCCTCGATGTAGGTAGGGAAGGCACAGGAGTCAAGGCAGAAACACAGGCATGCTGGGGAAAAGCGAGCTGGGTCAGTACAGACAGCGTGGAGCAGAGCCGTATGAGCAGGACGCGAGGAAGGGTGCAGCAGAGGTGCACGGGGGTGAGGCAGGAGAGCCTCAGGAGAAGCCACGGCTGAACAGATCAAAAGTCTTCCCCATGCAACATGTCACCCTGTCTCCTCTGAGTTAAACCCTCTCCCCAAACACACGGGTGCTCCCCCTCCAGTGACCAGCTGCAACTCCACAGCTCCTCAGACCACAGACAGCTGCTCTCTGGCCTGCATACTCTGTATACACTGGAGTGTACTGTGCACTCCATAGTTCGGTGACCATTTGAAACTTGAGAGATTTTACATCTTAATGCAGATGCCCAGCCTCTCTGGAAACATAAGGAAGCCTGGCAATACTACTGGGTTGTCGGGAAGCCATGAAGCATTTTTGCATAGGAAACCATAAAAAATAAATAAGTCCTGACTTTCCCTTTGACCTGCAGAGCAGCTGCAGGGGGACTAGGATAGCAGCTGCTCACAGACAAGATGCGTGCGCTCCAATCTGCCACTGTACACACCACTCCCTACAACTTGCACACAGAGGCTGTGTATCTGTGTCACTCAGAAATCCACTGCCCAATGTCTGCAGCTCTCTGCCTTAGCCGAGGCAGTCTCTCAGTCTGTCCCAGTCACTGTCTTGAAGACGCTGAGATTTGGAGTGGTACAACTCAATGTTCAGTAGCACACAATCCATCAAATCCACTTTTAGCACCAGAGCCCAGATTCTCCTGGGTATGCACTTTTTTCTTTTCTTTTTTTTTTAGCTGACAGAGGGCATGTGCACTCTCCAGAGAGAGAGAGAGAGAGAGAGAGAGCACCCCCAATAGTGCATAGCCCCACTGCAATCCTCTTTTCACTATTTCTCCATCCCATCAGGACTTGGGGCATGCATGCACATGCACTTGGCATGTTTTTCAAGTTGCAAGGACCAGGATTCGAACGGCGTTTGGCCACGTCAAGATCTGCTGAGCTACAGGGCTGGCCGCTGGGTATACATTTCAAGACTGGGTTCCTTGAAGCTCAGACCAGCTTATGCATCATCACTGTTGTATAAGCAGAATGTTGGCTTCTGATTTTAGTGAAACATGCTGATTAACAGAACAAGCAATGGCTCCTTATCAAGGTTGAAATAGAGTCCAAAGCTAATGACTTACAGAACTTCTCTGAATATCCTGCTCAGTCTTAGCATACATCTCAGAAAGATCGCCATTCAGGATGACTTCTGCTAAGGAGTTCACCAGCGGTGCGTGATGTATAATTAGGAAGACCTGGTGAGAAAGAAGAACACAGTCTTTCAAGCGCTTCCTTTTTTATTTTTAATTTTATTTATTTTTTTGGAGAGGTTTTTGCTGTAGGGTGCGTGCTTGCTGGAAAGACAGAGAGACAGAGAGATAGAAAGCAAGAAATCAGCGCCCTCCCCCCCGGGGTGGGGGGGATGGCCACGCCACAATCCCTTCTCCGTTCTCCTCTCAGGATCTTGGGCACGCACACACACACGCACCCGGCGTGAGTTTAAGCCACCGGGTCTGGGACTCGAACTGCAGTTGACTACATGGGAGTCCGGTGACATAGCCCTTACGCTAACTGCTGGCCCCTCAAACACTTCCTTTCATGATGAGAAAGAAAAAGGCTGGGCTGCCTAAGTCCTCTATTATGCAACAATCCCTGTGATGCAAAATCCAAAGAATGGGTCACATTCAGGAGGAATCAGTCAGTCTTCTGCTAGGGTTGGCCTCTCTCTCACTCTGTCGCCTATTTGGCCTGGCTGCTCTTCCTGGGAAGGAAGTGCATTACAGCGAGACTGCCCCTCGTGGCTGGGGAAGCCAAATCCGGCCAGAGTGGAGGAATGAGGGAGAGAAGCGCTAAGCCAGCACACTCCCTCCTTCCCACAGGCATTTCAGTGCCAAAGTCGGCTATGATAAGAGGAGAAGGCACCGTCCCAGTGCTTCAGTTATACGGGAAAAGGGGCCGGTGAGTTTAGCTCCAAGGAAGGACTTGGCAAAAGGTGGGCCTCACAGGCTCACACTGGAATGCACTCCAACCTGCGGTGGGCTTGGCACACTGCAATTCCATGGCAACAGCAGTGGGTGTGGAAACTGTGGGGAAAGCCTCACGAGCCAGCAGGCCCAGGCGTGCCAGGGTGCAAAATCAGAAGGCTCTGGCTGTCTAGGATGGCCCCACTACCCCACCCTGCTGGCTAGCTCAGAGGAATGGCTTCAGCAATCAGGGTATTCAAAACTGCCCTGCAAAGCTGGCCTAGACACACCTGCTTATTTGTTTCAAAATGTAAAGGCAGGAAGGAGCAGCACAGTGCGGTGTAGCCACCATTTGCCTATAAAAAGTGTGCTGTGTGCATGTATGTACCCGTTTATTTACAGACCCGTGAGCAAGGTCTCCCTGTCTTAGCACCACCTACACACTGGGACACAGTCCGAGTCGTGGGGGCTGCCCTGAGGGCTGCCCTGGGTTTTGCAGGACACTTAGCATCTCTGGCCTCCCTAAGCTACGTGCCAGCAGCAGTCCTTCCCTGCTCATGACAACTGAAAACATCTCCAGATGTGGCCACCCACCCACAGTCCCGCTGAGAGCCCCAGCAGAGGATGCCTCTGGGAGGACACCCTACAGGGCATAACTGTAGCTGTCTCTGGGGACAGAAATCAGGAGCTTGAACAAAATAGAAAGAAGACGTGGTTTTCACCTGCTTGAACTTGTTAACTTTAAAAACTGTATTTAAAAATTGTATTTAAAAAATATCGCTTAAGGGATCAGCAGATGGCGTAATGGTTATGCTGCTGGACTCCCACGCAGTCAACCATGGTTCAAGTCCCAGATCTTGCAGCTTCAAACTCATGCCGGGCATGTGTGTGTGTGTGTGCCCAAGATCCTGAGTGGAGAATGGAGAAGGGACTGCAATGTGGCCATCCCCCCCGGGGGGGGGGGATGATTTCTCTCTTTCTGTCTCCCTGTCTCTCTGGCAAGCACACATGCCCTATAGCATAAATCTCTCTAAATACACACACACGCATCTATATGTACATGTATATACAGATATGTATGTGTACATATCTATATACATACACATATATGCATGTGTGCATGTGTGTGTGTATATGTATCTATATACACACACATACAATTTATAAAAAGAAAGTAAAGTCAGAAACTAACACTGGCCACTTCTGGCACGTAGGAATGGGTACTCAGGTGGCGGAAAAGAGGGAGACTTTATCCACATGCCATGGTTTATACTGTTTGAATATATTATTCCAACAAATAAATACAATTCACATTAAATAAAAGGTACAGGCAGAACAGCCAAATGTGGCCCCTAACTTAAAAACAAACAGAAAAGCACGCCTGTTTTTAAACCCTGAGGCGGCCTTGACCATCACAGTGACTCGTATGAGCTATACCCACACGCTAATGGGTCAGCCCATGTCCAGGGCTAGGGCAAGCACTTGAATGCTGGTGATGACGATCATTTTTCTCACCTTTGCCACGGCCAAATTACTGCCATACTTTACCCAACCACAAAGCAAACCCCCACTGCTGAGTTCATTCGTTCCACGAGTACCGTAAGTCGCCTCGTGTGAAGGTAACCCTGCTGATCCTCTACTCACTCTTCCATTCAGTCCACATTCAGGGACTGGACAAAGACCCACTGATTCCTGCCTGTGGAGGTGCCCAGTGCCCACTTTCCTGGCCCTGAACCAGCAACTCATGGTAGGACGAAGTGTGAGCAGGCCAGACTGCTGGGCTGTCCGCACCACGCTCTTGTCGCTAGAGGCGGGTAAGTTTCAGGAGGACAGCATCACCTGCCGTGCTGAGTGCCATCATGTGAATTTCTGTGATCCAGGAAAAGGATTTCTAGGATTTTACAGTGGTGTCAGGGGCTTTGGCGACACAGGGTTTATACCTGATTCTGGGCTTCACACACTGAGGACACCTTATAATTCAGCTAAATGGAAATGCAGGGGGATGAAAGGCTGGAGTTTTTCGTTATTGTTTATTTACTTTAGTCAGAGGGCGTATGTGCTAGCCTTGGAGAGGGAGAGAGACAGAAAGCACCCCGCCCCCCAACTAGTACATGGTCACAAGGCAACCTCTCTTGCTCCATTTCGCCCTCCTTTCGGGCACTTACACACGTCTGAGGTGTTTCCCAAGCTGCCAGGTCCAGGATTTGAACCACACAGGCAGCCATGTGGGATCCAGCCACCTTAAACACCAGGCCATGGGCTGACCCCAGGGGAGGGTTTTTAATCTTTAAAAGGGGTCTATTACTCTAGTTCGAGGAACACTGAATTACAAGCTACACGTTTTGCAAGACAGTGAAGCAAATCAGTAGGTGCCTGAGTTGCTGGTCCTTCTCCAAGAAACAGGAGAGACAGTTCTGAGATAAGGCGTCACCCTCCCCATGAGAGTACCAGCTGTGGGGCTTGGTGGCTGGGCTCCTGGAGACCTCGCCCGTGCAGAGCTCCAACAGTTGAAGGGCTCTGAGGCTTTCCATGGGACTCCTGTGGCTGAGCACTGGCTGCTCCGCCCTGCCAGACTCCCATAATCCTGAGCAGGAGATGGTGGTGGAAACGCGATGGCAGAAAAGGCTGCCAGCAGAGGCCGGGTTTGTGCTGAGCTGTCGCACAGAGGGGCATTCAGACAGTCGGCATCACACAGAGCTCTGAGCAAACAGGCCCCCAGAACCAGACCCCGGGACGTGAGCAGCGGTCAGGACACACCGGATCCCGATCGGCCTACCCACTGGGAGGAGGCGGTGTCTGACTCTCTCTTCTCAGGCCAACAGAGACAGACCCTCTCCAAACTCGAAACAGCTGTGGATCGCGTTAGAAGGCCTGTCATTCATCAACGCCAATAAAGACCTGTGCCATTGCAGAAGTGGGAACCCAGCGCTGGTCAAACGTCTGCCTCCTTGACAGCCTGAGGAGATGGCCAAAGTCTGGGCTGCTTGTAATAAAAATATTTTTAAAGTTATGTAACTGGGTCACCATGGAGTTTTTCCCTTCTTGTAAATATTACATAATTACCAGAAGGAAACACACTTGTTTAAGGAGGGGAGGCAGACAAATTGGCTCAAGACACGGATCTGGGAGCCGAGGCTGCTATAAGATACCTTCCAGAAGGTAATCTGGGAACTGCATCCACAACAAAACCCTTTAAAAATAGCCTCGTTACAGGAAGTTGGTCCACCACGGCTGCTGCATGCGCACACAGCGGTCCTGCAGTAAGGCTTATTTCAAAAGTCCGTAATGAGAGCCTTGCCACCTCCATTTCTGGGGAGTGCAGAGCACGGCTCGGTTGTTTTGCAAAGCTCAGTCATGGTAAAAAAGTCAACTACCCAACTGCCAGGTTTGATTTATATTTCATTTCTCCTTAAACTTCCATCCCATACTGTGGAGAAGATCCATACCACTCCTACTCAGGGTTTGGAAAACTGAACACCTTTTTCATTTTATTAATGTTTTATTTCAAGATGGGGGACACAGAGAGTGACTTTCTGACAAGTAACAAGACCTCAAGGGCCCCCAAATGTGGTGGGGCTATGGTGAATGGTGAAACATACCTGAGACAGAAGGTAGAGAGACACTGGCAGGCTGATTTTCGGTCGTTCTCCTCCCTAGTGAAGGTGAGGGAGAGGGGGGAGCGTGAGAGGTGTCCAGGTCACACAAATGAGCAACACAAAAAGCCATCTGTTTGAACAAGTGGCGCCTGTCCCCTGGCTTTCCTCCATGCCCCAAAGGCTGCCCTTTCCTGGTGCCAGTCAAAAATCCACTCTGCAAAATACATTCACCACCTAGTCCAACTCAGAACTGTGAGCAGGAACTCTGCTCTCCACCTGGGCACTCTTACCATTCATCATGGATTAGAGGCTGGCTGAAACTCGCTGCTTAAGTTCCCAAGAATGTTCATTTCGCCCAGCTGGGCTCTGAGGGCCCTCACAGGAGAGTCCCCAGGAAGCCTGCTCTCAGCAAGTTTTCAAAACAAGGGGGAAGGGAAGGTCTGGGGTGTTCTGGCCTGTTAAAAACCTCTCTTCCGTGCTGAGTTTCAGGGTGCTCCATCTCACACCAACCCTGTGAGAACGAATTTTTAGGACCCTCATTTTGCAGTTAAAGAAATGGGCTTGGCTAGGTTAACAACCTTGTTAACAACCTTGTTCAAGGTCACCAAGGAAGGAAAGGCAAGAGGCAGAATTTGAACCCGAGTCTGAAAACTCCACTTCCCATGTTTGTCTAAGTCGCCCAGAGTTCCCTGGGATCAATCTACTTAGGGCTGCAATTGTCTTTTATTTACTTATTTGTAGTGAGAATCCCCATGTTCCATCTCCAAAAAGAAAACTGCCATGTCCTTGGGATGCTGCTACAGAGGACCAGCTGGCTCTGTGCTGCTGCCTGCCAAGGCTCCTGTGCTCATTCTCCCAGCCTCTGAGCTCTGCAGGGACTGGACTTCCCGAAGCAGCATTTCTCACTGGGAGATCTGCATGCCAGTAGCTCAGAATCACCTGAGAGACAGGTTAAAGATGCAGATTCCTGGTCCCACCCAGATTCGCTGCACCAGAATTCCTGAGAGAGCAGAGGGGGCCCACCTTTCCCACCGAGGACTCTGGGGCCTGTTAACTGTGGCCATCGGTGCCCTGGGATCTTTCCCTGCAAGTGCTCCAGCCCTTCCCATCTATTCTGTGCACGTTTGCTGGTGCCTGGATCTTCTCCAAACCAATTAGCTCTGGCAGCAATCAGAAAAAGTTACCAGGGATGAGGACGCCCCAGGGAAGGATGCACAGAAACCAAAACCCCAGATTCATAGAGGTTTCCTGTTTCCCTCTGATGGCAGTAATCTCTTCTCATTCACTTTTACAGTCAGTACACACACACACACACACACAGGCACACACACCCTCTCTCTCTAAGGAAGTAACAGGAAAACCAGAGTGCTTAGAAAGGAATCTCCCTCAGGCCGAACGCTGGGTCCCTTGCAATGTGCAGTCCCGCCGCAACGGCCACAGGCCCACCTTGTCCTGGTTCTCCAGTGAGTACACGTAGAGGGGCAGGAAGAGCCTGTTGAGTAGGTGGTCCGTGAGCACGTCATTGAGGAACTCACAGTTGATGATCAGGATGTCATTGAGATAGTGCAGGTGGTCCAGATGTTCAGCCACCAGGTCACTCAGTTTCCCTCGATTGCGGTGCCTGCCGAGAGAAACCACCGCCTCAGCCCGGAGATCAAAGCTTAGATCCTTTGGGCCTGAATCAGTGGCCTAAGACTGAGTCACTGGGGTTCATTCACATGACCGATATTTGTGCTAGTCTCAAGAGTCACCTATCTTGTCCCAGTTGGGTAGGCACACAACGGGAAAAGAGACAGGGCCACTGCAATCAATTTTAGGTCACTCCCTCTACCCTCGGGGCCTCAGTACAAGTCACCCCACAATCACAGCACAAAACCAACGGGGTAAACAAAGTGAAACACAGTAAAGCTCTTTCAGCAAGCAATTGCACAAAAGTAGCCCCTAGCCAATGTGCAAGAGCCCCTAGTTCCCACATAAGTGGCATTAATGGGGCAATAAATCCTCGCTAATTAAAAGGCTCTGGAGGAATCCTGTAGAGGCAAGCAGGCCTCACTAGCCATGTCCGCCCCGTTGTCCTCGGCCGTATGCAGGATGAAGGGGGAGGATGCAACACCCCCCTGCCAGGCCTTTGCCCACGGGTCCCATCTCAATAGGCATGCTGATCGGGTGTCTTGGGTACAGTTATTCTCACACTCCAGGAGGAGAGAGTCCAAACTGCCAGGGGCACACACCACCACCCCAAAGCAGTAGATGTTGCGCTGAGCAGTCTTGCTAGCAAGATGCTGTGTCTGGATTATTATTGCTACCTAAGTGATAGATGGCATTTTAGAAACCAGGAATTAAAGAAGAAAATAAAAACAAAAATAAAGTGAGGAAAACATTAAAGCCCTCTATAGTCCAACCATAATATATCCACTATTAATATTTTAGGACTTATGGCCCTATAGCCTTTTTTCCACATTTTCATCCCTCTCTCTAGCCAATCTGAAATGCAGTACTGAGCCAGCAGGTGGCACAGAGAGTAAAGCGGCTGCATCCCACATGGCCAATTGTGTGGTTTGAGTCCTGGACTTGGGACTCAACACACCCAGCGTGTTTTTCAACACGCATGCCTAAAATTCTGAGAGGAGAGTGAAGAAGGGACTGCGGTGTGGCCACCTGCCAGGGGGCAGTGGGTGCTTTCCCACTTTCTCCTCTCTCTCTCTCCCTGGCAAGCACATGTGCCCTATAGCAAAAAATAAAATAAAATAAATAAAATGCAGGTACTGCATATCTATCCATCTACATATCTAGCTTTCCATATATGCTTTTAAAAAATAAGTAAAAACAAGATCGATTTTGCTTCTTTTCCATAATTTTGGGCATTCATTATACTTCAGTAAGATATTTAGTAAACATTTATAGCAAGTACACACATGCTCTAAAGCCTAATGGTACTGAACACCTATAAACACATCATTGTCCAGAGACCTGGAACATTTATATACAAGGTTTTATACTGCTCCCACTTAATAAGATACTGTCAATATTCTTCCTTATTAGGATATTTAATACATCTCACTTCTTAATACTTTAACTTAAAAATACCTTAGCAAAGTTCTGTGTGCAGATGGGTTTAAACTCAATGGCACTGGGAAACTGATCATGGAAAACAGTGGCCTCTGGCCCAGCTCCTCCCTTCCCGCTCTCCAGGGAGAGGATGTTAACCCTGAGTTGCTTCTGCAGACAGTGCCTCCCCTACTTCTAAGAAATATGTGTGGATTTCCATTTTACGACTGAGCCACTTCAGCTATTGGGTCGTTGGAAAAATCCTGATGTATTTTTGCATAAAAAACAGAAAAATACATGGCCTCTTCCAATGACCCGATGTTATCTACTGACCTCCGGGTACGGCAGGACTCTGCGCCCTCTGCCCCTCCCCCCCCCAGGAGCAGTTATCAGTACCAGGTACAGCCACGGCAGAGACAAGCAGATTATGACTTCATTTCCTTCCTTGTACAACTCTGTCCATTCCGCAGTTAAATGCCTCGTTATGTCCACACTCATGACTGTTCTCTGCCCAATGCTCAGCCAGATCTGCCACCTTCTTTCCCAATATCAGATCTAAGTTTCTGTCTAGGAGCACCTCTCCCTGAGGACACCGCCTTCCTGGGTCCCTTCAGCACCCTGACCCTCAGGCTCTCACTCAGCAGCGTGCACAAAGGCGTCACTGGGGCAGTGGTTCTCAACCAAGGGTGACTTTATCTTAGAGAGGACATGTGAAAATGCCTGAAGACACTCTCTGTTCTCATGACTGGAGAATGGGTGCTACTGGCATGCCATGGGCAGAGAGAGGCCAGGGCTGCCACCAGACACCCCACAATGACTGGACAGCCCTGTAGCAAGGACATAGCCAGCTCAAAAGGTCCATGGTGCCAAGGTACCGAAACCTGCTCTGGAACTCCTGATATTTCAGGGCCAAAGTCACCACCTTAATCTTGTTTTTTAAAGAGAGACTTTTGCTATAGGGTGCATGCACTCGCTGGAAAGACAGAGACAGAAAGTGAGAATTACCCCCCAGGGGGTACGGCCATGCCACAATCCCTTCTCCCCGCTCTCCTCTCAAGATTTTGGGCACACAAGCACATGTGTCCAGCGTGAGTTTTAAGCCGCTGGGTCTGGGACTCAAACCACGGTTGACTACATGGGAATCCAATAACATAGCCATTACACCATCTGCTGGTCCCACCACCTTAATCTTAAAAAAAAAAAAAAAAAAAAAGAGAGAGAGAGAGTAACCTAAAAAAAAAAAAAAAAAAAAAAGAGAGAGAGAGAGAGAGAGAGAGAGAAAGAAAAAAAGATTTATTGAAATAAAATTCACATACCATAAAATCCACTCATCTAAATAATACAACTTGATGAATTTGATACATTCTCAACATTGCCCAGCCATCACTATGGCCGCCTGCAGAACTTTTTCTGCCCCTGCAGACAGCCCTATATGCAGTGGTAGTTACTGCCTGGTTCTCCCCGTAACACCCCACTCATCCCCCACCCCCAGGTCAAGGAAGTCACTAGTCTCGCTGTTCCTAAAGATTTGCTGATTCTGGGCATTTCACGGGAGCAGAATTACATTATGGGCATGTGGTCCTTTGTGTCTATCTGGCTTCTTTCACTCAGCATAACGTTTTAAGGTGCGTCCACACTGTAGCACGCACTGGTACTGCATTCTCTTATCACCCAGTGCTAGTCCACCATATGGACCTAGGATGTTCTGAGTCTCCATTCATCAGCTGGTGGCTCGCCTTAATCTCTGACATCTATGGGAGTGCTAGCTCTATGGGAACTAGCATGAGTCGTTCCCAGCTCTATGGGAGTGCTGAGTTCATGCACCCTACCCCACTCTGTGAGGCAACTGAGTCGTTCCTAGCTGAGTTTATGTCCCCTGCCCCACTCTGCCAGGCACCGGAGTCGTTCCCGGCTGAGTTTATGTCCCCTACCCCACTCTGCGAGGCACCGGAGTCATTCCCAGCTCTCCACAGTTACCAACAGGTGGATGGAACCTTTAAAGTTCAGGAGTTCATCGCTCCCACACGTGGGTAGATGAGTGGTGTTCTCCTATTTATTTTCCTGTAACGAAACCTGGATTCTCCCCCAACCACCCTGTCTGCCTACCACGCACCCCGACAGAGCCACTTACTCCTCGTCAGTCTGCACGCAGTTATCGAGTTCGATCACGTGGCTCCCGATGAACCAGACCAAGTTGGAGAAGTAAGGGACAGCAGTTTTGTCTCTGATATAGTGTAGCATGGCCTGGTTGTCCACTGAGAAAATCCACAAAAGAAAAGGAAAAAAAAAGTCAAGCTACCAGAAATAACTTGGGGGAGATTTAAAAACAAACAATAAAACCACAATGAAAAAATTCTCTGCTATAACCTGAAATTATCTGTCTTTCCTGGAGATACTTGAAAACATTTATCTTATTCATAAAACTATACTCATCAAGGTAGTTGTTAAGCAATTTTCATAATTCATAAAGCAAACCAGCTGGGATAACGTGCATCGAGCACCCGAGTGCCGACTTCTCAGCAGCGGGTCTAGCCCGACCACAACGGACATCGTGCCACTATCGAGCACGCTTCCTGCATTTACATGTAAGTGCGAGTTAAGAAAGCGGAAAACCAGAGCTTAGTAACTTACATGACACTGGAATAAGGAACACAGGAATCGTCATTGAAGGGAAGGCAAAAAAACAGACAACAGTTAACAGGGTTAGGAACTGGGAAGGAGACACAGCTGCTCAGAGGGATAGACAGCAAGGCAGGAGGCATCTAAACCGAAAGATACAGGTTAGAAGAGAACAAGAGAAAACAGAGTAGAGGCAACTGCGTGGCCCAGGGTCGCAAGCTCAGAAGCCTGCCGGGTTGGCTGGTGGCCCGGTGAGTGAGGCCAGCAGGCCTGGCCAGTGACCTGGGGAGCACAGGCCTCTCCCCCAAAAGGAACAGCTGCTACTCAGCGTCAACTGCCCCCCACCCCCCACACTGTGGGCCCGAAGTAGCCAAAGCTACATCTTCAAAGAAGAAATCCAGATTGTTATGGAAAAAAGCTCCCAGTTTTGACATACTGGCCACCACTTTTTCAAAAACTACGTAAGTCACTTAAACGTGTCTGAGGCTGGACTCGGCTCTGTTTGCGACCTCTGGACGGATTCAGTTGGGCTGTCCAATGTAATGTAACAATGAGTCCCTGAGGGGCACCCTAATGCCCCATCCCCCACCCCCCCCTAGGGTCAAATCAAATAATAACTTCTTGATCGGTGAGCTCAAAGCCCTTTAAACCCAAGGAAAATGGTGTCCCAGCTCCATTTGTGACTGAAATAAGCCAGGCACTGGGCAGAGAACTTCCAAGGCGCTGCCTTAGCGGGGCAGCCCTGGCTCAGGAATCCTGCGGCCAGCAGCGCACCTTTGTATCTACACAGGCAGGACCGAGGAGGGGCTTTCTCCTGCAGGCGTTTGGCGTAGTCAATACTTGTTGAGGTGCTGGACACTTCCACATAGCCAACCTCTCTCTCTCTCTCTCTCTGTGTGTGTGTGTGTGTGTGTGGTCAAATTAAAATAAATGAATGACTATATCTTGAAATAAAGAACGAACTTTGAGTGCTGGGCTTGGTAGCCAACTGAAATACAATACTGCCCCCTGCTGCTTGCAATCGAAAATGCTTTTATACATTATTTAAAATACCTCCTAGTTTTACTGAAGTATATTTCAAGAAGCCAAAACACAAAAAATGTAAATCCCACATTGAAAAGATACCTCTGCTTTACCTAATGCTAACGTGGCTGCTCTGAATCCCACCTGCGCCTCCCTTGGGACATCTCACCTCCCTGTAGGAGCACCAGCTAGACTTCGATGTGTGTGCGCAGGGGAGGCAGTAGGACGGATTTCTTTACTGGGGGAACAGTTAAGTGACCAAGGATCGCAGGCCTTCAGTGAGACGAGCAGCCACACACTTAGACAAATGCTCTCCCAGTGACCTTCCCAGGACCGTGTGCAGGCACGTGGGAGCGAGCACCAGCTGCCAGGCCGGAAACCAGCCGAGATATGCGCTCGGGAAGAAACTTACCTTTATAGACGTTCAAGGTTATGGTTCTTACAGCAATTCTAACCATGCTTTCAGGGTGATTGAAAAATTTGATGGCTTCTGTGTACAGGGCAAAGTCATTGGTATGCTAAAACAAAAGAAGCACCAAAAATGAGTCAGAACCTAAGACAGGTCGCTCCCCACTCTGGCTTTCTGAACTGCATCAAAGATTTCAGCAAAAGATGAAAAAAAAAAAAAAAGTTGCTAAAGTGAACTTTAAGCCAGTGGCCAGGTTCCAACAGGGAATGTGGGAAGGGTACGAAGGCAAGGCCCTGGAAGAAACAGAGGACTGCTGCCTGTCCTACCACCTCTTAGCCACAAGAGGCAGCATTTCTGAGCGTCTGCTTCTTCGCCATTGAGACTGTGATAACCCCGTCCCATGCATAGGTTAAAAGTCATTTCCAGCCCAATGCTCACCCCAGCACCTGATACCCAGTGAGCACTCAACAGCAATGTGAGTTACTATTAGCATTAAAAAGTGAAATCTTACTGAAACCAGTTTTCAGCCCCTATGTTTTTCTCTATTAGGAAATATTAAAAGTGTGAATGTTATTACAGAGGAGGGTCCGGGCACCTTCTGCTGTTAAAAAGGGTAATCAGTGGATCCGTCCGATCAGATCTCCACTGCCTGGCCTGGGGCTCACAGAGGCACACTCTGCTGCCCTCCAGTGGCCCATGTTTCCAGGAGGCTCTGGCATCCAGCTCTGAGGGCACCCAGGCAGCGCAGGAGAGGTAGTGAGGGCTTAGGGAGAAGCAACTATGATGTCAGGGCTTCCAGACCACCCTTTCCTGGCCACGGTGGGCAAGTGGAGGCTCGTGGTGACAGGTGTCTAATGAGGACAAGTCCACTCTGACCCTGGAAGTCAAGGGTCACCTAATGAGTGGTGAGTGGCAGGCACTACACTGGCCCACATAGGTGGTAATGTGTCTCCAAAACGTGGCTCCTGACACCCCCGATGTGCAGCAGATGTTCTGCCAGAAAAGCGCCACTGCGGCCCAGAGCCCCAGTGCTCTGCCCTCGGCCTGGTGCACAGAAGCCCTGCTGCAGGCAGTGGAGGGAGAAGCCGGCCACCTCTCAGTTCGGAACTCCGCAGGTGGCTTCTCCTCCTTCCAGAAGGCTCACATCACCTGTTTGCGGGACATGTTTGTTCAGCACCTACTATGTGCTAGGCACCAAGCCACAGGAGGCTATTTTTCAAAAAGCCACATGTTTTGGGCTTGACAGCTCATACTTCTTCCCTTGCAGCCAGCTCTTCTCCACAACTAATCCGAACCGTGAACGTCGGGGTTCAGGCTGCAGGTGCCATGTGCTGTGCAGACGGCTGGGCGGGTGCTCTCAAGCCAGAGAACACATCCAGAACCACGGTCTGGCTTCAAACAGAGGTTGCTCAGCATGTGTGACCATGAATCAGAAGATACCAGGGACCCAAACTGCAAGTGACTGTGGTAGCCAGCCTGAGACGGCCCCCAGTGACCCTTGGCCCATGTCCACATGCAAGGGTTGTCCTGTCCCACATGAGTCAGGGCTGGCCTGTGGAACTGAAAGAGTGGGTTGGGGCCTGGCCCATGGCAGTTAAGGTGGCTGGATCCCACATGCTGACTGTGCAGTTCGAGTGCTAACCCTGGTGGCTTGAGGAATACACCAAGCACATCTGTATGTGTCTACCCAAAATCCTGGCAGGAGAGGCAAATGGAGAAGAGGAGGCTGTGGTGTGACCATTCCCCATGGGGGTGCTTGTTCTCTCTCTCTCTGGTGAGCACATGTGCCCTGTGGAAAAATTAAAAAAAAAAAAAAAAGGAATATGATGGAAGCCCCCGTGTGTGCCTTCTGAGGCTGGGCCACTAACGGCATTACGGGTCACTTGCTCTAGGAGCCAGTCACTAAGCTGGGAGGGCACTCGTATGGTCCCACAGAGGCTCCCAGGAAGGGAACTCCCCACAGCAGCCAGCACTACCCACAGGAGTGAGTCATCTCAGGAGCAGATCATCCAAACCCAACCCCCACTTCAGATGACTGTGGCCTCCTGAGAGACAGAGCCAGGACTATCCTGCCGGCCAATTCCAAGCACTGGGGAGAAATAAGATGAAATTCTGACCAGTGAGACATGAGGGGAAGTCTAGGGGGAGGCTTCTGAGAAAATTCTTTTAGAAGCTGAAAGGTGACATAAGAAGGGAAGTTATCTCATCAGGCATTCCCACAGTGGAATGTGAGTCAATGTCTGGAGCTACTGCAGCCATCCTATGACCATGAGGGGTTGAACTGAGGACAGACACCAAAGGTACAGTCAGTAGAGCAGCAAGGAAAAAGTCTGGGTGGTTGATGATGTGATGGGGCCGCATCTGTACCTTTGGGTAGGTGAGAGAAACTGACCTTATTGTTTGCTTTTAACTATGAGAGCAGCAGCAATCTATTTATTTAAGTTGTTAATAATTTGCTTGTCCAAGGAATACCAGGGGCATTAGCTCACAAAGAACAGCAACATCTGCAGTGTTAGGGAGCCAGGTACATACTGGGTGCTTTGAAGACATCATTTAATTTCATTCAATCCCTGAAACTCTACAAGATGTATTTTCTCAGATGAAAAAAAAAAAAATCACGCCTTAAAGAGGGACTGGGACTTCCCTAGGGTCACACGGCAGGGAAGCCCCAATGCTAGGCCTGAGTACATGGCAACACTATCCCCAAATGACTCCCAGACACCTCTCTTCCCCGCCAAGTATAATGCTCTCAGCACAAATTAAACTTTACTTTAAAAATAGAAAAGTAGAGGGGCCAGCAGGTGGCATGGTGGTTAAGGCGCTGGACACTCCCACATGGCTGACCACGGTTCAAGTCCCAGACCTGGTGACTTGCTTTCTCACTTTCCCTCTCTCCCTCTCTCTTTCTCTGGTGAAGTTGAAATATGTAAATGAATAAATAAAAAATTAAATAAATCATTATTTTTAAAAAAATAGAAAAGTAGCTCGTTGAATGAAAAATGTTTACAAAGTGCTGAAGTCAAAAAAAGCCACAACAGCAGGTGCGTCCGCGATTAGTAGGCAGACCCAAGACCACCCAGTGCCAAGGTGCTGCACTGACCGGTTAGCTTCACACCCAAACGTGCCCCTCTGGCGACTACTCACCTCATTGTAAAAGAAATGAACGGTGTGGTTGTTGAGCTTTAAGGAAAGCGTTTTCAGGAACGATATGTAATACGCCATAATCTCCTCGTCGGAAAAGTCAAATTTATGAACAATGATAGAATTTACATAGTTATTAGAGAGTAAATAATCTAGAGAGAGAAAAAAAAACAAAGCAAAACAGACAGGTTAACTCCTCCCAGAGGATGTCAGTCACGTGCAGCGAACAAGTCGATGGGCGCCATCAGGCAAGCCTGCGGTGGGTGGGAGGAAGCCCATGGGCAGGGAGCACCTTCCCCTTTAACCAGCAAACCACCTGCTCTGCACAGACACTAGGCGCGCAGGGGCAGTGCCAGAGAAAAGCCTGCCCCGCCCGCCCTCCTACACCAAAAAGAAACAACACTCGATAGTTTTTTTCACTGCTCGCAAAGTTCAACACAGCCTGGGGTGGGGAGGTCGCCGGAGTGTGGCCATTTTTCAGACCACCCATGCTTGAAGGTAAAAAGCAGTGTGTCATGAAAAGCTGCCCTTCTTGCCCTCAAAGCGCTGCACATGGTTCCCCTCCTTATGTAGAAACCGCATTTTGCAAAGGTCACTTTTTGCTGAACCCCTATTACATGCCCAGCACCAGGCTAGGTGCTTTACTTTATAGTTAACCACTGCAAGGACAGCGCACAGTTGGGCTCATTCTCTCCATTTTGCGATGAGTAAAAGGGGCTCAGAGGGGTTGATTAACTTGCCTGAGGGCACAGAGACAATAAGCCACAGAGAAGGGATTCTACCAGCGTCTGACAGCACAGCTGTGTCTGTCATACACCCACGGGGGCTGACAACGAAAACTGGGTGATGAGGGAGTGAGGGCCCTGGGCCAACAGGAGAGCAGCTCCCCTCCCAGCTACCAGCCCCTGTGGAAATGCTGGTGCAGCAAGGAAGGGCTTCCAGCTGTGGAAGGGAAGCTGCATCGCCCACCTTTGGAACGCTGGTCACTGCACGGCCAGTTCTGAGGGCCATGCTGGCGAGCTGTCCACTGACAGCTGCAGCCTAAGGCCTGGGCTTGCCCTCTTGGTCTCAAGCCCTTACTGAACACTCACCCTCTGGGGCCTCTTGGCCACCCTATAGAGCAGGTGCTCTGACCCCACTGTCTGTCCTCCGGTGCCCATCTGCCTCCCCACAGCTGGTTAAAGCAGAGCACGAGAGGGACCAGCAGTTGGCGTAATGGCTATGTCTCTGGACTCCCATGCAGTCGACTGCGGTTCACATCCTGGACCCGGTGGCTTAAAATTCACGCCGGGCGCGTGTGTGTGCGTGCCCAAGATCCCGAGAGGAGAACGGAGAAGGGACTGCAGCATGGCCATCCCCCCTTGGGGTGTGATTTCTCGCTTTCTGTCTGTCTCTCTGTCTCTCTCTGTCTGGCGAGCGCATGCACCCTATAGCAAAACTTAAAAAAAAAAAAAAAAAAAAAAGCAGAGCATGAGAAACACCCATGCCTCCAGGTGAAGCATAAAGTGGCCTGGTTCAGAGCCTCACTACTCGAAGTCTGGTCCTCAGACCAGCAGAAGGTTTCCCCAGGAGCCTGTCAGGCATGCTGGGTCCTGGCCCCAGCCCTGGGTCCTGGTTTCTGAGGGTGGGCCCCACACTTGTATGGGAAGCCTGCGGGGCTTCCCATGCATGCTGGCATCTGAGAGGTAACGGGCCCCAACGTGCCCTCGGAGCCCTGCGGCCTGTGCCCAGACCTCAGCTCTGCCACTTCCCAGCTGACTGGCTTCGGGGAGCCGCCCCACTCCCCAGGGTCCCTGCCTGGGAAACAGAACAGCATAGCTGTCAGCACAGAATTGTAAGGGTTAAAGGAGACGATGAACAGAAAGAATTCAGGACGGCGGGAGCGCAGAGCTCACTCTCAGTAATGGGAACTGCCTACGGCGGTTCAAGTGTGCCCCCAAATTCAAGTGCTGAAATTTGGTGAGCCACTGCCACAGTATCAGATGGTGGAAACTTAGAGAAGGGGCCTCTGAGAAGTGCTTATGAGTACAGAGTCATCAGGGTACAGCCAGACGCCTGAATCCTGGTGGGTTTATAAGACAGACCAGAGCAGACACCCAGACACATGAACAGTCGAGCTCTGGCTCTCCCACTGTGACGTTCTGTGACATCTTGGGGCTCGTGGGGAGTCCCCACCAGAACTGTCACCAGATGCCGCCCCCTGACCGTGGACCTCCAAACTGTGACCTAAGTAAACCTCTACCCTTTATAGATCACCCACTCAGGTGTTTCTGTTAGCAACAGAGTCGCTGCCAATATTCTTCTAGTTACAGAGATTCATAATCTTTGTGTGTGTGTGTGTGTGTGTGTGTGTGTGTGTGTGTGAGAGAGAGAGAGAGAGAGATTTCTGCTTTAGGGCACATGCACTCGCCAAAGAGTCAGAAAGCAAGAAATTAGCCCCCAGGGAGGATGGCCAGGCTGCGATCCCTTCTCCATTCTCCTCTAGGGATTTTGGGCATGCATGCACATACGCCCAGCTTGAGTTTTAAGTGGAGGGGTCCAGGACTCAAAACCACAACCCACTACGTGGGAGTCCAATGACGTAGGAAATAAATCATTGAGTTACCTGAGCCAGTGAGGTACTAATTTAGGTCACTCACAGTATTACTGAGCAGTCTGCTGGAAATCACCACCAACACCAAGAGCCATCCAGGACCAGCGCAGAGGCCGTGGTGTGGGTGTGCAACGTGCACTCTTAGAGAAATGGTTTTCAAAATCTCCTGATTATAACAATTCCTAAGCAGTTCTTGCTCCAAGTGAGGACCAATGGGTCTGAGGTGGGGTCTTAGGAATCTCAATGTTTTTTGGGGAGACCAGCAGATGGCATAATGGTTATATCGCTGGACTCCCACGCAGGCAACGGTGGTTCGAGTCCTGGACCTGGCGGCTTAAAACTCACACTAGGCATGTGTGCATGTATGCCCAAGATCCTGAGAGGAGAAAAGAGAAGGGATTGTGGCATGGCCATCCGTCTGGGGGGTGATTTCTCACTTTCTGTCTGTCTTTGTCTTAATGTTTTTAGGATGAGGTTACACATATCAGACATCCTGAGTGTACAGTTGGACGTATGTGAAAACACATACATACCTGAGGTACACGCACATGTGTATTAAATATACGTCACAAAGTGGGACCAGGTGGTGTAGCAGCAAAACATGATGCTCTGCAAGGCTGACCACATCTGTTTCGACAGACCTTCCTGAGTATGCTGAGCACACACATGTCCAAAATTGGGGGATGGCTAACCCTGGGGTGGATAAGAGTCAAAACCCTCTTGGGGGTGTGGTCTCTGTCTCTTTCTTGTTCATGGAAGAGATGAATAGACAAACTTTAAAATACATATGTAGAGGCCAGCAGAAGATGTGGTGGTTACGCTGCTGGACTCCCACATGGCCAACTGCAGTTCGAGTCCCAGACCAGTGGCTCGAAAATCGTACCAGGCATGTATGAGTGCATGCCCAAAATCCCAAGAGGAAAATGGAGAACAAGGGATTGCAGCATAGCCATCCACCCTGGGGGAGGGGGGCTTCTCACTTTCCTTCTCTCTGTTTCCTTTTGGTGAGTGCACACATGCTATGGCAAAAACCCTAAAAAAAAATACGTGTGTGTACATACGTAGTTCATAAATCCTAGATGTCCAGCTGCATGAGTTTGTATGTACACACACACACATACACAAACACACCAGGCACACACCACCCAGACCAGACATAGCTCCAGCTCTCCAGAAGGCTCCTCATATCCTGCCTAGTCAGTACACGCTCCCTGGAAGCAACCCCTATTCCGACTTCCCCACCATAGAACATTCTGCCTGTTCTGAACCTCGAATGGAGTCGGAAAGCACACATGCTTCCTGTATCTGGCCTCTGTCACTCATCACCACATCTGAGAGTGATCCACGCTGTGTGGCTCTAATTCATTCCTTTTTTCTTTCTCCTTTTTTTTTGCCTATAGTATTCCATTCTTTGAACAGTGCACGATGCACTTTCCTACTCAGAATCTAACTTACAACATGCAGCAGGGTGACTATGATGCTCAGAGCACTTTTTCACTCTGCTTCGTACTGACAGTGGTGGGGGACAACTGGAGAGGCTAATGGACTGCCAGAGGAAGGGACTGCTGGCATGTCTTGCTGTGCCCTGTTGTGACTGGCTAGTGGCTTCTGGGCCACCAGTGGCCCAGGCATCTATGCTGGCAGCTTCACATGAGCAATTATGAGTCTCTCAGCTGCATTCTGGACCTGGAACAGCCGCAGGCTCCTTCCACTCCTCAGTGGGGACTTTTCCAGGGCCTCCAAGAGGTGACTCTGTGGGCAGTGGCACTGCCTCTGCTATTTGACTGGGATTTTTCTACTACCCCCTCACTGTGGGGCTGACTTTCTGTGGCATCCTTTTCTAATAAACCCAGGAGTCTGTAAGTAATCTCAGTCTCTCGGGGCTCCGTCACTTAGGTCACCAACAGGTGCATTTGTGAATGGCTGCTTGTAATAGTGAAAAACTGGAAACCACCTAAATGTCCGTGGTCCAGCTGCATCGATTCTGGCCCAACAAGATGCAGGTCTTAGGCCAAACCAAGAAGGGTTACACAAGGGGCCAAACAGAAGATGTGCTGGAAGGGGCGGAAGCAAAGGCCAACAGCAAAACACCTGCTCTGGCCATTGGGATGAGTGTCTACGCAAACCTATGCTTCTGTCATGTCTAGTGAAGCACAGAATGAAACAATGAGAATGTTTCCATTCTATAATTAGAGAATTAAAATAGGGGTCAGCCTGGTGGCCAGGCAGCTGGATCCCACCTGGTCAGCTGCATGGTTTGAGTCCCAGTCCCAGTGGCTTATAAAACACAACAGGCATGCCTGCATGCCCCAAAGCCCGACGTTGGGAGAAATGCAGAAGGGACTGTAGTGTGACCGTGCCCCATTAGAAGGTGCTTTCTCTTTCTCCTCTGTAAGCACATGCTTCTTCTAGTGATAAAAAAAAAAAAAAGTAGGGGACCAGCAGTTAGCGTAATGGCTATGTCGCTGGACTCTCATGTAGTCAACCACGGTTCGAGTCCCGGACCCAGTGGCTTAAACTCACGCCGGGCACGTGTGCGTGCATGCCTAAGATCCCGAGAGGAGAATGGAGGAGAAGGGATTGCCGCGTGGCCATCCCCCCCTGGGGGGGTGATTTCTCACTTTCTATCTCTCTGTCTCTCTCTCTCTGTCTGGAGAGTGCACGCACCCTATAGCGAAAACCTCTCCAAAAAAAAATAAAGGAAGAAAATTAATATAAAAACAAAGACCATCTATCACTCTTACTCCTTGCAAATCCAATATTTATAAGTAGGCAGTGACTTCAGCCCTTTCTGCAAGACTTATAAGACGGTTCTGGTGAAGAGCTTCCATAAAGGAAGGGGCGTCTGCCTGGTTTCTCACCACTGGGCACCTTCTTAGGTCGCCCAAAAGAAAAGCCATGCATATGACATGCTCTCACTCACGTGTGGAACTCACAGAAGCAGGGGATGGGGGATGGGGTGGGGCGACGTGGTAGTCAGAGGGCGCAGCCTTCCTGCCCTCAGATGGCCAGGCTGGAGCTCCACCGTACGGCGGGGCTGTGGCTGCCAACACTGTCTTACACACTTGAAACCTGCTAAGCCGTTAGGTCCCGAGTGTTCTCATGCACAAAAAAGAGGAACTGTGTGAGGCTACGGATGTGCTCGGTAGTTAATCTGTGCTGATTACTTCACAATGTACACATCGAATCCTCAGATATAAAGAAAAAGAAAGAAAACCTGTGAGATCTAGAGAAACCATCTAAAACTCCAAATTTCTGATCTTCCCGACCCCCACCCTGTATCCAGTAGCCCAGTGCCTCGTGGGGCTCATAAAGGGGACCAGAGAGACACTGGAGGGAACACTGCACCGAATGCCGGACCCCGTGGGACGCTCTGCACGCCCCCTCTCTCTCACTCCATAGACCACCCTGTTCCCTGCTGCTATTATCTCCGCCTGAGGGATGGACAAACTGCAGTTTGGAACAGGACTCCCAGGACACAGTGTGGTGGAACCAGGTCCAGAACTTGGTGCAGCCTGAGTCCGGAGCCTGAGCCACTGAGCTGGATCTTCACCTCTGAGTTTTTGGAAACCACACTCATTTTATATCCAGCAAAGGAGAAGCTAAATATAAGGGAAACCACTTTGGCAGACATGAGCCAACCCACTTTTGTCTGCCTGCGGTCACTGGGAAATGTAGGGCATTTCCAAGGCAGCAGCCCCACCTAGTGGTCACTGCTGAGCACCACCACCAGCCACTCTTGCCCCTCCCACCCCTTCTGGCCCTGAGTAGCAAGGGGGCCATCTCTACTGCCTTCTACCTACTGGGGACCTAGTGCCTGCCTTGGATACGACAGACATTCAGCCACTCCCCTTCTCGCCCTCACTTCTTACAAACACGGCCTGGGTCTTGGTGCAGTCAGAATACGCAAGCTAGTGGCCAAGCCGCAGAATTAGGAACTAAACCATGGTTTGTCGAGCTCGGCACCTCAGGCAGAGCAAGCTGACGATTCTCTGTTGCAGGGGCCTGGCCTGCGCACCCCTAGTGTCGTCTACCCTCTACATGCTGGTAGCGCCCTCTCTCCACCTGGATCACGGCAACAAAGAGTGTCTCTAGAAACTGCCAAACGTCCCCAGGTTGAGGCCCACTGGGCTGAGATACCTGGGCTAAAACTGGCTGTCCGTGTCGGCCTTGCTAGAGTGGTCACTGCAGGCCACTCAGGCTTCAATGAAGGCACCCACAGCACCTGCCTCTCACGTGTGGTTGTATGGATGAAGGAGCTGGGGCTGAGTGTGGGCAGGCAGTGAGCTCACTGTCACACTCGCTGGATGGGCAAGTGAGACCACAGCAGAGAGCCAGGCGCCCACGCCCACAGCCCTGCATGTACTTGGCTGCAGCCTTCCCATGCTCCCCCGGGACTTAGTCTGTTGATTGGTTATTCAGCAACCCCAATTCTTTAATAACAAGTCATAAAGAAATGCAAACACCCCCAAAATAATTCAGGGGACCCCTCTCTTAGCCTTCACAGTGCCCCACCATACAGAGATAAATACAGTATTACAGGCTAAATCGTGTTCCTGCAAATTCATATACTGAAGCCCTAACCACCAATGTGACTGTATTTGGAGACAAGGCCTTTAGGGAGATAACTGGGTTAAGTGAGGTCGTAAGGGTGGGCCCTGCCCTGATAAGACTGCGGTCCTAACAAGAGGAAGAGACCTTACGTGAGTCGTTCTCCCCAACACAGCCACAGAGGAAAGACCACCCACAGCAAGAAGGGGGTCATCTGCACACCGGGACGAGTCCAAGCCCGAAACCAAACCTGCTGGCAGCTTGACTTGGACTTCTATTGTCCAGAACTTTGAGAGATTGAATTGCTCTTTTAAACCACCCAGTCCGAGGTATTTATTAAGATTGCCCAAGCTGACCACTCCACATGGGAAGCACAGACATACACAAGGACAAACTACACCCCAGGGCAGAGGCAAATGCCAAGGAATGTCCTTACAAAGGGAGGTCTCGTGGCTGATATTCTCAAACAGGATGTTCAAGGTCTGCAGCAGCTGAACGCACACGTAGCGGCCCGATTTCTGCCGCAGGATGTTCAGGAAGAAGACAAACATGTTCTTCTCCAGGAAGAAGCTGGGGAAAGAATGGGAAAGGGTCAGTGGTCTGCTTCCACACGTGAAAATCAGAATCATCCTCTGGGAACATTCAGTCACATGCGCATACCTGTCCCCAACAAAGGGTCACACACCCGCGGGGCCCCGGCTCACGTAACAGCGAGTTCACACGTGCTGTCTTCCGCGAAGGCCAAGACGAAACCTTCCAACTCTCTTCCCAGAAGGTGAGAACTGTGCTGACTCCGGGAGCAGGGAACTGGATCTCTGACAGAATGGGAAAGATTCCTGCCTACTGAAAGATCACATGCTCTCTACCCTGTAAACCGCCTGGCAGTGCTGCTCATCAAGTGCTCGGCAGTGCTACTTTCCTGACGAACCTCTTCGCTTTGTGTGCCATAGCTCTGCATTAAGGAAAACAGCTGGAAGTCCCAGCCAACGGCTAGGGCACGCTGAATATTGAAAGTTTCTGTTCCCAAATGATCAAGTTTGTAGTTTTCCTATCTAAGGAGAAAGAACTAGAAAGACACGTGAAGATGCTGACATGGGGAGGGACCCTCGTCAGCGCCCTAGCTTCTGCCTCCCCTGCTCTGCACAGGACACTTGTCTGCATGCGGCCTGGGGCGCGGACTCCTGGGAGTCCGTGTTGGTCCTTCTAGTCTTGAAGAGGAAACAGAAATCCTGAATGCCTCTCCTTAGAAGAAAATGAGATTTCTAGTTGTGTGTTCTCCGAAGTCCAGCTAAGGCCAGGTAGTCACTCACTTGGGGTGCTCAGAAGAAAATCGCTGCAGGCACATGTGTCTGCCGGTTGCCTTGGTTTGGGGGCTCTCTCCCCGCCTTGTGTGTCCACCCCACAGTGTGGAATCACTGGCCTGGAACCTAGTGCCATGTAATGACTGCTTGAATCCATTACAGGGTAAATGAGTAAATAAATCTGTCCTAGAAGACCCCTAAAGTCTTCCCCAACTCTGGGAGACTGCCTGCTTTGAAATGCCACTCATGCTGACCTCCCCGAGATCGCTATCATCTAAACCTCTGTCTGCCTTCGGGAGCTCCTATAAATCGCGACTCCCAGGTACCACCTCCAAACTCATGGCCAACTGCCCCAACTTGGAGACTAGAGTTACATCAGCACTGCACTCTTGCCGCAGAGAGTATTCATTCAGTAGGTCACAACCCTGGATTTTAAAAACCTCTCTGGGGGAGTGGGGAGCTCCTTAGAAAAATGGCCCAACATGAAGGCTGGGGCACAGAACCCACAAAATGCACCTGGAGCATCGTCTATACCAGGAAGAAGGGAAGTACTCAAAAAACAAGATGTGAGCATGCCCACGGCACACAGGAACCAACCAGAAAGACTTCTAGTCGCTTAAAGCGGGAACACTGTGAGCCATAAAACAACACAGCATTGGATTATAACTCTAAGTATGAAATAAATATGCATGAGTCCATATTGATATAAATAAACGGCTGAATAAATAAATGGCAAAGAACAGAAATCTTCCATGCAGAAAAAATTCTTTTTTCTTTTTAGAGGTTTTTGCTTTAGGGTGCATGTGCTCGCCAGAAAGAGAGACAGAGACAGTGAGAGGGAAAGTGAGAAATCACCCCCCAAGGGGGATGACCACACCACAATCCCTACTCCTCCATTCTCCTCCAAGGATCTTGGGCATGCACACACGCACCCAGCATGAGTTTCAAGCCACTAAGTCCAGGACGCAAAACATGGTCAACCATGTGGGAGTCCAGTGACTGCTACTCCACCTGCTTGCCCCATGCAGAAGAATTTCAAACAGTATATGTAGATACTCTCCGTCCTTGAAAGTGAAGATTAATTCCCAGCCCCTCTCATCTCGTAAAGTGGGCTAGGCTTTGTGACTCCTCCGAAGAACAGAGGGACAGGGGAAGAAGTCACTCTATAGTAAGAGAAGCCTGGCAGACACCACCTTGAGCAGGTGACGCTTGCTACCATCAGGCTGTTATATGAAGCGCGAGCATCTGCTAGGATGGGATGAGAAGGGGACGTCTCTATAGTGGTCTTCCCCTAACCCCCAGGCTAATGTGAAAAAAATACCAGACTCAGACTTGCTAGAGTTGGGGAACAATCTATAGGAGACCAAGTCGGTATACTCCAAAACTATGTAGGTAATTAAAAATAAGAGAAGACTCAGAAACCACCACAGACCAAGAGACTGGAAGATGTGAGGACTAACTGGACTGTGGGAGCCTGGAGCTAAAGGGAATAGTAACGAAAATTCTGGCAAAATCCAAATCAAATCTTGAGTTTACTTAATGGCAGTGTGCTAGTGTCAGATTCTTAGTTTTTCTTTAAAGAATTATTTTATTTAACTTTATTTATTTATTTAAATTTGACCAGAGAGGGATGGAGTAAGAGACAGAGAGCAGGAATCAAGTGAGAAAGCAAGCCGCCAGGTCTGGGACTTGAACTGCGGTCAGCCATGTGGGAGTCCAGTGTCCTTAACCACCATGCTACCTGCCAGCCCTGTCAGTTTCTTAGTTTTAACAAATGCACCCTAGTTATACAAGATATTAACAATAGGGAAAGCCAGGAAAAGGATACGTAGAAGGTTTCACTACTGTTTTTGCCATTTTTCTGTATATCTAAAATTACTCCAAAATTTGAAAATGTATTAAAAACAAAATATGGGGGGTGGGGGGAAGGGACTCTGTTGGGCTGCTGTTTATGAACTACTACTGGGACTCTATGAACTCACTGCTTTCGAGAAGAGGATTCCTCATGGCTTCTGCAAACTAGTCATTTCAGGGGACAGGAGAAATGAAGATTTTTCTACTGATAATTCAGCCTCCAGCAAACAAAGCTAGTGTGATTGAACTTCAAGAATTAGAAAGAAACACACCATCCATCAGATGACAAGAAATCACCGTAGGACCACAAGAAATATGGGAAAGCAAGAAAATACCTCTCCTCCAAGGGAAAAGAATAATTCCTCTTCATCCACAAGCAGTTCAATGCAAATCATGGAAATGTCTGATAAAAAATTTAGAGTATTCATAATGGCGAAGCTAACTGAGATGGAAGAGAAGAGAGACAATGAACTGCTAAAGAGAAAGGAGAAAGAAGTTGATGAGTTCCAGGAGGTGAGGAAATTCTTGCAAGATCTAAAAGAGGAATTACACGCTTTACAAAAGAGTCGAACGGAACTGTTAGAAATGAAGTCTATAATACAGGAAGTCAAAATCTCCCTTGAAAGTATTAAAAGCAGACTAGATCATACAGAAAATAGAATCTCAGATGTAGAAGAGAAAATGGCTGGCCTAGAAAAATCCACCACAAAGACTGAGAAAATGGCACAAAAACTTGAGAATAATATACGAGAAGTACTAGATACCATCAAATGTCCAAACATCTGGATAACTGGCATTCCAGAAGGTGAAGAGACCCATAAGGGCATT